CTTAGAAAATTCTAAGAAAAGTCTAGAAAATGGGAAATAATATTCTAAGGCTCTTTTGTGAAGAGAGATGACGAAAATACCCCTGAGGTAACTTAAAAGGAATTTATAAGTTTATGGCTCAGTTTGAGATGTAGAGGTAGATTTAATTGTTTGAGTCATAAGGAAACCTTAGAAAATTATGGTAAAATAGGGATGTATGATCTAAGAGACTATAGAAAATTATAAAATTAGTCTCATCCCCAGAAGACCAGCAAAATGGCTTTAAGAATACTTAAAAGCCAGTTGTGCCGAAAAAGGGCATTTTAAAGAATGATTTTTAAGTGGGCCTACAGGTTGAGTTATGATCTGAGAAAATTCACAGATTTTCTCTAGAATATGAGGAATTTTATGATATTTTTGGATGAATTTTTGGAGCTCTAGATTGAATAAAATACTTCAGTCAAATATTAAATAATTTTGTCCCCTAAATAGGAGACAAAACCAAAGAAAATATCTAAGAGCCATCATGACAATGCTGAGTCAGCATACTGAGTCATCAAGCGTAATCATGACACTGACTAGTCAGCGTGCTGAGTCATCAAGCGTAATCATGACACCTACGAGTCATCATGCTGAGTCACCAGAAGATATTTATGGACAGCATAAAAATCAGAATGCAGTATGGGAATATTTTAGACAGTCTTTTGTCTACCCGTTATAGTGAAATCTCTAGTGCATGACTCAGTAAGGTTAAGTAGCCTGTCAGTAGAGCTAATTATTTTCATCTATGCTTCTCTGAGATGGCGCCATATATGTACCTTTTATTGGCCAGAATTTTAAGAAGAAGTTATCCCAACGGTACAGGGTAAGTCAGGACCCGAAAAATATCCGTTACGGTGCAAGATTGGCTTGATAGGTGGAGAAATAATTAAGAAAATATTTTTGCACGAATTTTCCATTTTTTTCTCCTTATTTTAATGCCATAAATGATGAAAGGACATGAAAATGACAAGTGTACGGTTAGATGAGAAAAAGAAAGTATTGCTTGTACGGCTAGATGGAAGACACATGTACGGTCGGATGCAAGACACATGTGCGGTTGGATTAAAGACATGTAGCTTGATGATGTAAGCATGATGTCAACATGATGAGGTAAGCATGATGTCATAGGACACTTGTCACCGTAAGATCAAAAGAGAAAATGGACGGTCCAGATCGAGCCACGTATTTTTAAGATCAACGGTCCAGATTCAGTCTGCTTTTCTATAATACCCCTCCCCTCCCTACCATTTCGTCCAAGCATAAGGAATCCATGGGGAAGCTCTTGCAAAATGGTTTCTAGAGAGAGAAAGAAGAGGGAGAAAGAAAGGCCAAGTGGTTCCAAGTCAGATCAAACTCTAAAACAAGGTATGTGATGGTTATAGCACCTGATTTTATGCCTATTTCGGATTAGTTACTGTGCGTATATGATTCTGAAATTTTGCATGCTTAAAGTACACTCTGTGAGCTTTAAATCCATATGTAGAACACTTCATTTGGATATGTGTACGATTTATGGTGATTTTTCAAAGTTAGGGTTTGAAATCTGGAAACAGTGCTGAACTTTTGGAAGAGTTTCGAGTTCCGTACAATTCCGGTACTGTTTGGCGTAGAATTGGTTTCTGAAACTATTTTTCCTTTAAATTTAACTTAAGGATATTTCAGTGAGACTTGGAAGCACTCAATTTGGATTTTTCTAGAATTAATTATGAATTTTCAAAGTTGAGCAAAAATTCTGGAAATTCTGCATGAACAGTACCCGCGAACCAAAATTTCCAGATTTGGTATTCTTGAATCTAAGGCCATCTAAAGTGGTCTTAATTGACAAGAAATGGATCCTAAGGATGGGAAATGATAAGATTTATATTATAAAAGTTAGAAAGAAAACCCTAAGACTAAGAGAAAGGGTTGAGGTTCAAGAAAGCTAGTCTTGAACTTTATGTAATCTAATGGTCCTAATGGATTGTGTGATCATTATGATTATGTTTAGGACCTTTGGAACATCCAAGAGAATATTTGGTGATGTTGACCGAATGCCCACATGGTTGGAAAGTCAAAGGAGTCAAAGGAAAAGTGAGAGGAAAGCTTGAGGTGCAAGGTAGTGAACTTACCTATACTGTGTGCTTGATATGTATGCTTGCATGATGTGATTGTGTTGCCATGATGTGACTAAGCTATGATGAAATGTTTGCAAAGTTATGTTTGCAAGTTTATGTTATGTTTTGCCTTGGCAATATGTTATGGAAGCATGAAATGCTTTAGCTTACTTTCCATGGCATTCATGTGTTAATATTATAACATGTCATGCATGTGCATTATGTCTTGCATGCTTATGGGTAGTGTTTGCTACTGAGATTCTCCCGAATCTCACCCCTCCCTAACCAACCATTTAGGTCAATCAAAGATGGGCAATAATGGCATGAGAAGCAAGGAGAAGTAAGCAGAGAATTATTCTTGTTAATGGATGAGACTGTTAATAAATGTATAATTCTACTATTTTGTGAACTATGTTATGGATGACAATGATGCCATGTATTTAATTATAATATTTATGGCATGAATGAAAGTATATGAGCATGAACGGGAAAGAGTAAGGCCATGTTATGTATGCCAAAGAAATAAAAAGAATTAAAGAGATGTTAAGGGATAAAACGTAAGTCCTGGAGCAGTGAGTTTGTAGCTCCAGTTTGACCTATCAAACGAGTGAGTTAGGTCATAATATTTGGCAAGAAAAGAGATCTGATGTTTCTCTTTAAAATGAGGGATAGTTTGCCCGATTCCGATAACCGAGCAGATAGTTATGCCTTTGCAAAGTTAGGCAAAAATACAGTAAAATCCGAAAATGACTAAATGAACAGTAACTTTTTCAAAGGAAATTGAGCTCGAATTTCAAGGTAATCAGTTCAGAAACTATTTTTCCTCAAAATTTTATCCAAAGAGCTTTCTGTAGAACTTGGAATCACTCAATTTCAATTTTTCTACAATTAGTTATGAATTTTCGAAGTTTGCCACATTTTAAGGTGACAATGAATAGTAACCCGTAAATGAAAATTTTCAAATTTGATTTTTCATCAATTGTAGCCTTCAAAAGTGATTCCAAATGCTTCCGCAAGGAAATTTAATTGATTTAAACATGAGGTGTTACAGTACACATATGCAATAACACAATGAAATATGCTATTCCATCACCATACTCCTCCTTACGACTCATTGACAAGGACCTGGGCTTTTTGTGCTAAGTAACCCGGCCGAAGATCATCCCACTCCATCAAGCAACAGGCCCCCTCCTACATCTACACCGCCTAAAAATAGACTATAGTGCAAGAAGTGTCTATCCAAGATCTTGTTCTTAATTCCGAGTCAAGGAAAAGGAAGAACTAAAGGGGTCTCACAAAAAGGCCAAACACTATGATCAATAGTGTAGGCATGTCACGCAGACTTCAAGAACAATTATCCTCCACATAACATAATTCCAACCTCCACATATGAACCCCATGTATAATCACAATATAAATTAAAAATATCATAGTTCTTTAAAGTAAGATGATATAATTTCAAACAAAGTACACCACATTTTCATTTTATTTAATAGCATAATATTAGTATATCAAATTTAGCACCACAAGAAAACATAATTCTCAATAAAATACAACTCAGGTATTATTAAGTTGACATACTTCCTACTTCACCAAAATTTGTCATATAAGAAAATACCTTGCTTTATTCATAGACATACTTTCACAAATTAATTTGAGAAAATAAATGTATAGTAAACACCTTACAATCCAAACCATGTATATAAAATAAATTAACTCTGGTTACTTCTACTCCAAGCTTAATTTCATATCTTGAGAAATAAGAGCACAAATTACAAACTCTAAAATACAAGATAATCTATAAATAATATAGATACAATTCAGTATACATACAAATAAATAACTTAAATTACATAGGATTTATTATTATTAATATATATACATATATTTACTACCCAAAAATTCTTATTTCAAATAACAATTTTTCTCTACCCAAATAACTCATTCAAATTATATATATAACTATTTTTATCTAACATTGTAAAATTCTCAATTTATAACTTAAGTTTCAAACTTCAAATTTTTTCTAATAACATATCCTTAACCAATTTCACATCTTAAACTGATTAGAATCTTAATAATATATTAAATAATCTAAATAAGTTATTTAACTTAAATTTAATTCGTAAAAACATTCTATATCTCTTGAATAATGTATTTTTCAACTAAAATCTTAAACAACCTAAATAAATTATTTAACTTAATTTTAATCAGTATAAATATGGTATATATCATAAATAATAGATTTTTCCGCAAAATAAATTTGATTTTAAATACCAAAAGTAATAAATGAACAAATCTAAACCTACTACTTATTTACCTTTAAATTTCTATGGTAATCTATTGTCAAAACTCAATACTTACTCCATACCCAAATCCCAAAATTTTCTTTAAACATTATAATGATACTAGTAATATAAAGCTCTAAATATATAGAAAATATTCATAAAGAAAATTTAATAAAAAGAAGTACTTTTATGTACCTAAATGATCAACAAAGCTTGTATTACTTTTCAAAATGCTAATACTTTTCTACTTATCTCTCATTCTCTGTTTCTCTAATTCTTGTTCTCTCTCTTTCTCTCTGCATACACCTCATTTCTTATCTCATCATCCTTCCTTATTTATCTTTCAACTTCAAACGTTTCCTCTTCATTTTCCTTCTTTAATAAATGACATTTGCCCTAAATTCTTCTTCTTCTTTAATGCCTACAGCTTTTCCATCGAATTCGATGGAAAAGATGGTTTTTTTAATAATAAAATATTATTATTTATAATGATAAAATATCATTTTTTAATAATAATAATTTTTTATTAAGATATATTTAGGATGTTACAAGTACCAAGCTAACATAAGCTGAATCTCCGAGCTTCATACTACATTATTTACACATCTTGATTCACTAAATGATGGATTGCGATATTATTGAAAGGAATGGCTAATGGTAGGTTAGAGGATGAAAGCCTTTGAGACACTAGTTGCATTGATGGCCGAGATTGGGGAGATGGATTCAAGCATGCTAATGCTATTGCTACCAAAAGAGTTACATCTCGTGCATCTTTTCGTGATGGCAGTGGGATACGTGGGTCTACCACATCTTTTAGCCAAATGCTTTCATAACATGTCTTTGACAAAGACAATAACAAATCTCCAGGATGTCTTCCCATGATTGTTTCCAATGTCATCACTCCGAAACTATAAACATCACATTTTTCAGTTACAACTAAGGTGTATGCAAGCTCTGCAATAGAGAAAAATATGAAGAAGTTATGTAATTGCCTAGAGGTAAGTAATTGTAAAAAAAGATACAACACAACAAGAGAAGTAGTACAGAATCAAAAAAGTTGACCTGGAGCAATGTACCCATAAGTACCAACTAGAAGAGTTTGGTTAGATGCATCTGGATCAATGATTCTAGCTGTGCCAAAGTCAGATAGAAAAGCATCCATGTTTGAGTTTAACAACACATTACCACTTGTTATGTCTCGATGGATAATTGGAGGAGCACAACCATGATGCATGTAGAACAAAGCATTTGCTATTCCTTTGATGGCATTCACTCTTTTGCTCCAATCCAACTCTTTAGCATCGTCATCATTATTCAACACATAAAAAAAGCTTCCTCTTTCCATGTATTCATAGATGAGGAACATGCACTGATGATGTAAACAAAAACCATAAAGCTTTACAATATTGCGATGTCGAATTTCACTCAACATCTTTACTTCATTGTGAAAACTCTTGGCAAAAGATGTGTTTCCATATTCTCTTCTATGAAGCTTTTTTAATGCTACAATTTTGCCACTTGGAAGTTGTGCCCTATAAACACTTCCATAGGCACCAGTTCCGATACAATATTTAATGTCAAAGTCCTCTGTTGCATCAATTATATCTTCAAATGCAATTTTTCCATCGTAGTTCCATATGGAAAGCAAATCTCTATTTTTGGCTTTTCTTGTCTCACTTATGGATTTCTTGTTCTTTTTGAATGATTTAAATAAGATGAAACCCACAACAAATATGATCACAAGAAAAATTATCAAAGGAACAATGATTGTCAACAAAGAATTTGAGCCTTTATGTATCTTCTCTGGCCAAAGCAATTCTGTATCACCATTTAAAAAGTCATGAGAAAAAGAACCATAAAATTCACTTGGAACATAGCCACTGAGAAGATTGTATGACAAATTGATGTACTTTAGCACACCAAGTTCTCTAGGTATGCTACCAATGATACTATTGTAGCTCAAATCAATGCGACATAAGGATGGACAACTGCATAAACTAGATAGTAATATTCCATTGGATTTTTTGTGAATAAAGTTACTATCAAAATCAAAGTAATCATTCAAAATATATGATATGTTTCCACTCAAATAATTTTGGAAGACATCTATAATATAAGTGGGATATTTGAAATTGCCTAATTGTTCTAGTATGCCACCACTTAATTGATTTTGAGAAACATCAAAATGTCGCAAATATCCCAAATTGAAAACCAAAGAAGGGATGTCACCTACAGTTAACAAATTTGACTATGAATAGAAGTTGTGGAGATTTGTCATAAAATCCAAAGTTGAAAGAATGGCTCTAACTATTTTCTTGGTTTTACTCAAATCTAGCAATTCTAAATAAGGATGGCAAGGGTGGAAGGTAGAAAACATGTAAGATAGCTGCAAGACAAGTCCAAATAATTGAGATTTTAAAGAGCTTTTATCTATGATGGAATGATCCCTGTCAATAGAGGTATTAGGTTGTGTGAAGGTAAATACAATATTTCAAAATTTTGTCAATTTGCAAGGTAAGAGTAGAAATGAAAGATAGATAACTCACCAGTAAAATTGTTACAAGACAAGTTCAGATGAATGTGATATTGAAGATCTTTTATCGATGATGGAATGATCCCTATCAATAGAAGTATTAGATTGTGGGGAGGTAAATACAATATTTCAAAATTTAGTAAATTTACAAGGTAAGAATAGAAATGGAAGATATATAACTCACCAATAAGAATATTAAAAGACAAGCCTAAATAAGTGAGATTTTGAAGAGCTTCTATCTATGATGGAATAATCCCTGAATTTAACATATATCTGTGGCTAAACATAAATTTATCTGAATTTTCTTCTTACAAGCCTGCTTAACTAGACCTCACATGTTGCCCAACCATTTGTTTTCATACTCATATATATCATACTAATGCTATGGGAATGATGAGAGTGGGTTGGGAGTTATTCTATCCACGTCAATATAGTTTCCTTTATTCCTTTTGTGGACGAAAAGTATACAGGGTTGAACAAATATGGGTTAGAAAAGTGATAGGGGAATGATAAAGGAATATGCTCACCAGTTCTTGATAAAAGCATGGCACCATGTTTACGAGGTACCCTTATTTATCTACTTTAAACCTCTTTATTGAATTTTCCAAGAAGATGAACAAGTTAGCATTGATTGTGTCTTATAATATCCACTCTAATTTTTTTATTGAATTTACTAGGAAGATGAACTAATTAGCATTGCTTGTGTCTTGTAACAATTTTAATAGTCAGTTGAACTGCAAATGTGTTGTAGGTTATTTGAAATCTAAATAGAGTAAATTTGAACTGTGAGAGTAGAATGAGCATAACTCACTAATAATATAGTTGTAAGACAAGTCTAGATAAGTGAGACTTGGAAAGCTCCAGTTTGAGTTGGAATGGCACCTATCGAAGCTAGTCATTTGAGTTGTAAAGGTATTGGAGTTTATTTCTTATCAAATAAAAATTGAGGGTGAATTCGCTCTATTAAATTATCAAGGTTAATAAAACTTGAGCAAATTTGCAAGATGAGAGTGAAATGTGCATAACTTACCACTAAGATTGTTGTTAGACAAGTCCAAAGAGATAAGACTATGAAGAAGTCCAATTCGAGTTGGAATGGTACCTGTCAGAGCCAGTTATTTGAGTTCAAATGTGTATTCTGCATAATTTCTTATTAAGGTTAACATATTCTATTAAGTTATAGATGTAACTACAAATCTAAATTGAGCAAATTTGTGAGATGAGAGTGAAAGGTGCATAACATACCAATAATATTGTTGTAAGACAAGTCTAGATATGTGAGACTTGAAAGATCTCCAATTTGAGTTGGAATGGTACCTGTCAAAGCTAGTCATTTGAGTTGTGGTCTTGGAGCCTATTTCTTCTCAAATAAAAATTGAGGATGGATTTGCTCTATTAAGTTATGGAGGTAAATAAAACTTGAGCAAATTTGCAAAACTTGAGGTAATTTCTTATTAAGGTTAACATATTTCATTAAGTTATAGATGCAATTACAAATCTAAATTGAGCAAATTTGTGAGATGAGAGTGAAAGGTGCATAACATACCAATAATATTGTTGTAAGACAAGTCTAGATATGTGAGACTTGAAAGATCTCCAATTTGAGTTGGAATGGTACCTGTCAAAGCTAGTCATTTGAGTTGTAGTCTTGGAGCCTATTTCTTCTCAAATAAAAATTGAGGATGAATTTGCTCTATTAAGTTATGGAGGTAAATAAAACTTGAGCAGATTTGCAAAAATTGAGGTAATTTCTTATTAAGGTTAACATATTCAATTAAATTATAGATGTAATTACAAATCTAAATTGAGCAAATTTGTGAGATGAGAGTGAAAGGTGCATAACATACCAATAATATTGTTGTAAGACAAGTCTAGATATGTGAGACTTGAAAGATCTCCAATTTGAGTTGGAATGGTACCTGCCAAAGCTAGTCATTTGAGTTGTAGTCTTGGAGCCTTTCTTCTCAAATAAAAATTGAGGATGAATTTGCTCTATTAAGTTATGGAGGTAAATAAAACTTGAGCAGATTTGCAAAAATTGAGGTAATTTCTTATTAAGGTTAACATATTCAATTAAATTATAGATGTAATTACAAATCTAAATTGAGCAAATTTGTGAGATGAGAGTGAAATGTGCATAACATACCAATAATATTGTTGTAAGACAAGTCTAGATATGTGAGACTTGAAAGATCTCCAATTTGAGTTGGAATGGTACCTGCCAAAACTAGTCATTTGAGTTGTAGTCTTGGAGCCTATTTCTTCTCAAATAAAAATTGAGGATGAATTTGCTCTATTAAGTTATGGAGGTAAATAAAACTTGAGCAAATTTGCAAGATGAGAAGGAAAGGTGCATAACTCACCAATAATATTGTTGTGAGACAAGTATAGATAAGTAAGACTTGAAAGAGCTCTAATATGAGGTGGAATTGTACCTATCGAAGCCAATTATTTGAGTTGAAAATGCATTGGAGCTTATTACTTATCAAATAAAAATTAAGGATGAATTTGCTCTATTAAGTTATAGAGGTAAATAGAACTTAAGCAAATTTGCAAGATGAGAGTGAAAGGTGCATAACTCACCACTAAGATTGTTGTTAGACAAGTGTAAAGAGATAAGACTATGAAAAAGTCCAATTTGAGTTGGAATGGTACCTGTCAGAGCCAGTTATTTGAGTTCAAATGTGTATTCTACATAATTTCTTATCAAGGTTAACATATTCTATTAAGTTATAGATGTAATTACAAATCTAAATTGAGCAAATTTGTGAGATGAGAGTGAAAGGTGCATAACATACCAATAATATTGTTGTAAGACAAGTCTAGATATGTGAGACTTGAAAGATCTCCAATTTGAGTTGGAATGGTACCTGTCAAAGCTAGTCATTTGAGTTGTAGTCTTGGAGCCTATTTCTTCTCAAATAAAAATTGAGGATGAATTTGCTCTATTAAGTTATGGAGGTAAATAAAACTTGAGTAAATTTACAAAATGAGAGTGAAAGGTGCATAACTCACCAATAATATTGTTGTGAGACAAGTATAGATAAGTAAGACTTGAAAGAGCTCCAATTTGAGGTGGAATTGTACCTATCGACCCCAATTATTTGAGTTGAAAATGCATTGGAGCTTATTACTTATCAAATAAAAATTAAGGATGAATTTGCTCTATTAAGTTATAGAGGTAAATAGAACTTAAGCAAATTGCAAGATGAGAGTGAAATGTGCATAACTCACCAGTAATATTATTGCCATATAAGAATAGAAATTCGAGATTTGGAAGACGTCCAATTTGAGTTGGAATGGTACCTGTATTGAAGCTTATTTGTTATCAAATAAAAATTAAGGGTGAATTTGCTTTATTAAGTTATAGAGGTAATCAGAACTTGAGCAAATTTGCAAGATGGGAATAAGAGGTGCATAACTCACCACTAATATAGTTCTCAGACAAGTCTAGATAAGTGAGACTTGAAAGAGCTTCAATTTGAGGTGGAATGGTACCTATCGAAGCCAATTATTTGAGTTGAAAATGTATTGGAGCTTATTACTTATCAAATAAAAATTGAAGATGAATTTGATCTATCAAGTTATAGAGGTAAATAGAACTTGAACAAATTTGCAAGATGAGAGTAAAAGGTACATAACTCACCAATAATATTGTTTTCACGCAAGTCTAGCCAAGTGAGATTTGAAAGACCTTCAATTTGAGTTGGAATGGTACCTGTATTGGAGCTTATTTCTTATCAAATAAAAATTGAAGATGAATTTGATCTATCAAGTTATAGAGGTAAATAGAACTTGAACAAATTTGCAAGATGAGAGTGAAAGGTGCATAACTCACCATTAATATTATTGCCATATAAGAATAGAAATTTGAGATTTGGAAGACGTCCAATTTGAGTTGGAATGGTACCTGTATTGAAGCTTATTTGTTATCAAATAAAAATTGAGGATGAATTTTTTCTACTAAGTTATAGAAGTAAATAGAACTTGAGCAAATTTACAAAATAAGGGTAAAATGTGTGTAACTCACCACTAAGATTATTGTTAGACAAGCGCAAAGAGATAAGACTATGAAAAAGTCTAATTTGAGTTGGAATGGTACCTATCAAAGCTAGTCATTTGAGTTCAAATGTGTGTTCTACATAATTTCTTACTAACATTAGCATATTCTGTTAAGTTATAAATGTAAATACAAACATAAATTGAGCAAATTTGCGAGATGAGAGTGAAAGTTGCATAACTCACCAATAATATTGTTGTTAGACAAGTCTAGATAAGTGAGACTTGCAAGAGCTTCAATTTGAGGTGGAATGGTACCTATCGAAGCCAATTATTTGAGTTGAAAATGTAATGGAGCTTATTACTTATGAAATAAAAATTGAGGATGAATTTGCTCTATTAAGTTATAGATGTAAATAGAACATGAGCAAATTTGCAAGATGAGAGCGAGAGGTGCATAACTCACCAATAATATTGTTGTGAGACAAATCTAGATAAGTGAGACTTGAAAGAGCTCTAATATGAGGTGGAATTGTACTTATCGAAGCCAATTATTTGAGTTGAAAATGCATTGGAGCTTATTACTTATCAAATAAAAATTAAGGATGAATTTGCTCTATTAAGTTATAGAGGTAAATAGAACTTAAGCAAATTTGCAAGATGAGAGTGAAAGGTGCATAACTCACCACTAAGATTGTTGTTAGACAAGTCCAAAGAGATAAGACTATGAAGAAGTCCAATTCGAGTTGGAATGGTACCTGTCAGAGCCAGTTATTTGAGTTCAAATGTGTATTCTACATAATTTCTTATCAAGGTTAACATATTCTATTAAGTTATAGATGTAATTACAAATCTAAATTGAGCAAATTTGTGAGATGAGAGTGAAAGGTGCATAACATACCAATAATATTGTTGTAAGACAAGACTAGATATGTGAGACTTGAAAGATCTCCAATTTGAGTTGGAATGGTACCTGTCAAAGCAAGTCATTTGAGTTGTGGTCTTGGAGCCTATTTCTTCTCAAATAAAAATTGAGGATGAATTTGCTCTATTAAGTTATGGAGGTAAATAAAACTTGAGCAAATTTGCAAGATGAGAGTGAAAGGTGCATAACTCACCAATAATATTGTTGTGAGACAAGTATAGATAAGTAAGACTTGACAGAGCTCCAATTTGAGGTGGAATTGTACTTATCAAAGCCAATTATTTGAGTTGAAAATGCATTGGAGCTTATTACTTATCAAATAAAAATTAAGGATGAATTTGCTCTATTAAGTTATAGAGGTAAATAGAACTTAAGCAAATTTGCAAGATGAGAGTGAAAGGTGCATAACTCACCAGTAATATTATTGCCATATAAGAATAGAAATTTGAGATTTGGAAGACGTCCAATTTGAGTTGGAATGGTACCTGTATTGAAGCTTATTTGTTATCAAATAAAAATTAAGGGTGAATTTGCTTTATTAAGTTATAGAGGTAATCAGAACTTGAGCAAATTTGCAAGATGGGAATAAGAGGTGCATAACTCACCACTAATATAGTTCTCAGACAAGTCTAGATGAGTGAGACTTGAAAGAGCTTTAATTTGAGGTGGAATGGTACCTATCGAAGCCAATTATTTGAGTTGAAAATGTATTGGAGCTTATTACTTATCAAATAAAAATTGAAGATGAATTTGATCTATCAAGTTATAGAGGTAAATAGAACTTGAACAAATTTGCAAGATGAGAGTAAAAGGTACATAACTCACCAATAATATTGTTTTCACGCAAGTCTAGCCAAGTGAGATTTGAAAGACCTTCAATTTGAGTTGGAATGGTACCTGTATTGGAGCTTATTTCTTATCAAATAAAAATTGAAGATGAATTTGATCTATCAAGTTATAGAGGTAAATAGAACTTGAACAAATTTGCAAGATGAGAGTGAAAGGTGCATAACTCACCATTAATATTATTGCCATATAAGAATAGAAATTTGAGATTTGGAAGACGTCCAATTTGAGTTGGAATGGTACCTGTATTGAAGCTTATTTGTTATCAAATAAAAATTGAGGATGAATTTTTTCTACTAAGTTATAGAAGTAAATAGAACTTGAGCAAATTTACAAAATAAGGGTAAAATGTGTGTAACTCACCACTAAGATTATTGTTAGACAAGCGCAAAGAGATAAGACTATGAAAAAGTCTAATTTGAGTTGGAATGGTACCTATCAAAGCTAGTCATTTGAGTTCAAATGTGTGTTCTACATAATTTCTTACCAACATTAGCATATTCTGTTAAGTTATAAATGTAAATACAAATATAAATTGAGCAAATTTGCGAGATGAGAGTGAAAGTTGCATAACTCACCAATAATATTGTTGCTAGACAAGTCTAGATAAGTGAGACTTGCAAGAGCTTCAATTTGAGGTGGAATGGTACCTATCGAAGCCAATTATTTGAGTTGAAAATGTAATGGAGCTTATTACTTATGAAATAAAAATTGAGGATGAATTTGCTCTATTAAGTTATAGATGTAAATAGAACATGAGCAAATTTGCAAGATGAGAGCGAGAGGTGCATAACTCACCAATAATATTGTTGTGAGACAAATCTAGATAAGTGAGACTTGAAAGAGCTCTAATATGAGGTGGAATTGTACTTATCGAAGCCAATTATTTGAGTTGAAAATGCATCGGAGCTTATTACTTATCAAATAAAAATTAAGGATGAATTTGCTCTATTAAGTTATAGAGGTAAATATAACTTAAGCAAATTTGCAAGATGAGAGTGAAAGGTGCATAACTCACCAGTAATATTATTGCCATATAAGAATAGAAATTTGAGATTTGGAAGACGTCCAATTTGAGTTGGAATGGTACCTGTATTGAAGCTTATTTGTTATCAAATAAAAATTAAGGGTGAATTTGCTTTATTAAGTTATAGAGGTAATCAGAACTTGAGCAAATTTGCAAGATGGGAATAAGAGGTGCATAACTCACCACTAATATAGTTCTCAGACAAGTCTAGATGAGTGAGACTTGAAAGAGCTTTAATTTGAGGTGGAATGGTACCTATCCAAGCCAATTATTTGAGTTGAAAATGTATTGGAGCTTATTACTTATCAAATAAAAATTGAAGATGAATTTGATCTATCAAGTTATAGAGGTAAATAGAACTTGAACAAATTTGCAAGATAAGAGTAAAAGGTACATAACTCACCATTAAGATTGTTTCTAGACAAGTTCAAAGAGATAAGACTATGAAGAAGTCCAATTTGAGTTGGAATGGTACCTGTCAAAGCTAGTCATTTGAGTTCAAATGTTTGTTCTACGTAATTTCTTACCAAGGTTAACATATTCTATTAAGTTAGAGATGTCAATATAAATATAAATTGAGCAAATTTGCGAGATGGGAGTGATAGGTGCATAACTCACCAATAATCTTGTTGTAAGACAAGTCTAGGTAAGTGAGATTTGGAAGAGCTTCAATTTGAGTTGGAATGGTACCTATCGAAACCAATTATTTGAGTTGAAAATGTATTGGAGCTTATTACTTATGAAATAAAAATTGAGGATGAATTTACTCTATTAAGTTATAAATGTAAATAGAACATGAGCAAATTTGCAAGATGAGAGTAAAAGGTGCATAACTCACCAAGAATATTGTTGTGAGACAAGTCTAGATGAGTGAGACTTGCAAGAGCTTTAATTTGAGGTGGAATGGTACCTATCCAAGCCAATTATTTGAGTTGAAAATGTATTGGAGCTTATTACTTATCAAATAAAAATTGAAGATGAATTTGATCTATCAAGTTATAGAGGTAAATAGAACTTGAACAAATTTGCAAGATAAGAGTAAAAGGTACATAACTCACCATTAAGATTGTTTCTAGACAAGTTCAAAGAGATAAGACTATGAAGAAGTCCAATTTGAGTTGGAATGGTACCTGTCAAAGCTAGTCATTTGAGTTCAAATGTTTGTTCTATGTAATTTCTTACCAAGGTTAACATATTCTATTAAGTTAGAGATGTCAATATAAATATAAATTAAGCAAATTTGCGAGATGGGAGTGATAGGTGCATAACTCACCAATAATCTTGTTGTAAGACAAGTCTAGGTAAGTGAGATTTGGAAGAGCTCCAATTTGAGTTGGAATGGTACCTATCGAAACCAATTATTTGAGTTGAAAATGTATTGGAGCTTATTACTTATGAAATAAAAATTGAGGATGAATTTACTCTATTAAGTTATAAATGTAAATAGAACATGAGCAAATTTGCAAGATGAGAGTAAAAGGTGCATAACTCACCAAGAATATTGTTGTGAGACAAGTCTAGATGAGTGAGACTTGCAAGAGCTTTAATTTGAGGTGGAATGGTACCTATCGAAGCCAATTATTTGAGTTGAAAATGTATTGGAGCTTATTACTTATGAAATAAAAATTGAGAATGAATTTGCTCCATTAATTATAGATGTAAATAGAACATGAGCAAATTTACAAGATGAGAGTGAAAGATGCATAACTCACCATTAAGATTGTTTCTAGACAAGTTCAAAGAGATAAGACTATGAAGAAGTCCAATTTGAGTTGGAATGGTACCTGTCAGAGCTAGTCATTTGAGTTCAAATGTGTGTTCTACGTAATTTCTTACCAAGGTTAACATATTCTATTTAAGTTATAGATGTAAATACAAATCTAAATTCAGCAAATTTGCAAGATGAGAGTGAAAGGTATATAACTCGCCAATAATATTGTTGTAAGACATGTATAGGTAGGTGAGATTTGGAAGAGCTACAATTTGAGTTGGAATGATATGGTGAATGCTAGTCATTTGAGTTACAAATGTGTTCTACATTATTTCTTATCAAAAAAGGAATTTTAGAGCAATCGTGGATCTCCTCTTTTCCAAGTATTTTTGCACTACCATTAAAAATGTAGTGTGGCCATTGAGAAAATTGTATCGCAAACTGATTTATGTATTTCAGCTTTAATTTCCTTGTTTTCTAAGATCCTATTTGAATTGGAATCATACCTATCAATCCTATTTCTCTAAGATCCAATTCTATAAAATTAGTAAATGCAGTGAAGTTGAGATCTACAACCTAGGGCTGGCTTGAAAAATGGGTCCATAGATGGGTGTTATCCAAATAACACTTCCATTATCATTACAATATACTCACAAGGGTCGTCTGAAGAGTTTGTAAATATTCCACCAGTTGATCAGAGGGAGTACTATATATTTTGACCGGTGGTTTTAATTTGATATCACAAAACTCACAACTTTACCACTTCTTTTTCTACGTTATAAACACCTTTTTGTAACCTATCGTCAACGTCGAAGTTGCAGTATGCCTCACGACAAAATGACATAACCATAACGTGTGTGATGGGAAGAGGAGATTTCATTGATTTTTTTTTTTGTTGACAAAACCATGTCAGGTAATTTTTAAATATTAAAAACTTTAATCAATTTTAAGTAAATTTTTAAATTTAGACAAAGTTGTTAATAAAGCCTTATAAAAAGAATCAAATGTAGCAATACATGCTGGAGAATTAATGGATAAATATAGCTAACCCCTTATATGCAGGGCATTCAGTTTGGAAATCTGGGCCGTTCAAAATAAAATTGAACGATCTAAGATTAAATCTAATTTTATTTTTATGTTTTAAATAATTTTATATTTCTATCTGTGCAAAAATTTAAAATAGAAATAATATCTTAATTATTCACATTTTCATGAAAATAATTTAAATCATTGGTTAAAAAACTATAAATTTAAATAGTTAAAACTATAATTGTTCATAATGTCATTGTAGTGATGAGGATAATGGTGATCATCCCTGCAATAGGCACTTAAACTAGTTCTTATTGCAAGTGTCCTGATAAAACTTGCGAGCAAACATTTGGGACATCCAAGACCCGATAACTTAGCTACAAAAAAATTAGCTTGGTTTAGTCTCTTCTATTAATTTTGCCTCCTCCTATTTTGTATTTTTCTAAAATTCCAGAAAAAGGAAGTGATAGATCATCAATATTTTAAAAACCGGATAACCGAAGTTCACAAACATAGTTCTCCTAATCCAACTGATGCATAAAAGTTCACTGGTAGGAGCTAGAATAAATGTCAACTTGCCAGTATATGAGTGAGTTTTGGTAAGAGTAAATGTTAATTAATTTACTAGCAAGATTGTTTTGAAATAAATAATGGTAAGATTTTGAAGAGTTTCTATCTATGTTGGAATGGTACTTGTCAATAGATGTATTAAATTGTGTGGAGGTAAAAATAACATTTTAAAATGGACAGAGTTTTGCAAGGTAAGAGTGAAAGCAAAAGCTATATAACTCGCCAGTAAGATTATTATTAAGCTTGAGATCATAAAGACTTGCTATCTGAGTTGGAATAGTACCTATCAAACCCATTTCATGAAGACCCAAATGTTGTAGGTTGGGAAATGCAGTGAAGTTTAGATCTGCTAGCCGAGGGTCCTTTGGAGTGATCATTGGCTGACTCATCTCAATAACGCTTCCAAATTCATTGCAATACATGCCTTTCCAATCACAAGGGTCTGAGAAGTTATCACTAAGATCCCACCATTTGGTCTGAAGCAGAGCTCGTTTCTCCTCTTCTATCATATTTATCTGCTGGGAGCAAGATATCTCAAAGCATAGTAACAATACCAATATCATCACACCCATCTTCCTTTAATTATGTTTGCGCAAAGTGGTGATCACACAATAATGAATGCACCCATCATAGAGTCTTTATATAGACAAAAGCTTAATTACCATGGCTTTGGAAGTATGTTGTTTCCACGTCAATGTCGTCCAATGACACCGCGTAATAAAAGACAGAGAAAACCGTTGGCAAAATAAATAATTAAAACAAAGAAAACGAGTTGCACATACGCGGGGCCGCCTTCTTGGGATGAAATTATCATTATGTTCTCAACCGCCCAAGTCAATATCAAAGTCTTCCTCACCTGTGCTCACCTGTCGGTTTTTTTTTTTACCAGCGCAGCTGTCGATTACTTATTACGTGCAAATAGATAAAGAGAAATAGAGAAGCAAAATCAAAGTTAACTCATAAATTTACTTAAAAAATAATAATAATACTTTCCGGCATTGTTCTTATTAAATTTGAAGATATCGATGCTGTACATTTGCAAGGGACTATATATTTTCAAGCAGGACTAAATTGAAAAAAAAAAAACATTAATATCCTAAGTGAGCTTATATTTTGGGATGGGAAAGATTAAATGAGTTGTACAGGTTGGATCCCCCCCCAGTGATGTGGTAGATACTTATCCGAAGGACTTAGTGAACATTTCTTCCCCACGTTTTTGTTTTGTTGATGAATATAAGTTTATAAGGCTTTTTGCCCCGTTTCTTACAAGAAAAGAGTATTTGAAATAATTGGAATTGTGATTAGTTGAAAAAACATTCGAATTGTGATTACTGTTAGTAAAATTATAGAATGACAATTAATACAACTATTCATCATCAGTTAATGAAAGATTCAAAATGATAACCAAAATTAGCATCGAAGCCGATTTAGGAAGGTTGTTATTCTAATAAGGAAAGCTGAATGCATTTACTTCCCATAATAAAAAATAGTCGAAGAAAGAAATAAACGTGTTTGAGCTTTTTCTTGTTTTTTTTTTTAAAGGAGTGTTTAGTTTACTTAAAAAACACTTTTAAAAAGGAAGACACAAGTCTATATAAAAACCTTTTCACATTATTACCTCGTATATGGTATTGATTTTCACTAAAACACTTTATTAATCAATGTAGTGGGTTCATTCACATGGCCTTTCAATATATTATCTATTTTGCTGCTTTTTTTAATTAAAAAAAATCTATTTTGGTGCTTTTTATTTTGATAGCGAAAATTGCATAATTTGATACTTTTTTCCTAGATTTTAAAGACCCCCTTTTGTATATGAGGCACCGTCGACGTCAAAATCGCCGGAGTATGCGCACGCCTCCTCAAGATAAATGGACATAATCATAACGTGTGTGATGAGAAGACTTGATTTGGTTGATATTTTTATTTATTTATTTATTGACTAAAATTATTTGAGATAAGGTTAGAATTTTAAAATCTTCAAGTAATTTTAGGCAAATTTTTTTTATTGAAACCATTTGCAACATAATTATTTTTAACACTATTAAGCCATATCAGCACAGTTAATTATTAGCAGCATGAGTTTAAACTACAAGGATCCAAATCCTAAAAGATAAACTCCAACGACCTTAATTAAGTTTACTAAGTTTAATTGATACTACAAGGAGTAGTCTTCCCTTAGCTTTTATTTTTTGTTTTTTCCTCTTTATACATGTTGTTAATAAAGTCTTATAAAAAGAATCGGCCATTAAAAGTCCAATAACTCAGCCATCAAATGAGATTAATTGTTTACTGTTTGGTTGGAATGGTGATGGTTCATTAAAAAACATTTTTCTTATTTAGATTCACGGAATACAAGATAAATATACGAGGAGAGTTTCATTTCGTTTTACATAAATTTTCTTATAAACACTTAATCAAACAGGGCATTAGTCTACTCTTCACATCCTCCTGTTTTGCCTTTTTTTTTTTTTTCAATTTCCTGTATTTTCTTATTCTTAATGCGGTTTTGGTTTTCTCCAAAAACCTCCCCTAATGCTAGACAAAATTAAAGACTGTTTTTGTTGCTGTTATCGGTGGCGCCACCTCCTCCTAAATCCTTCGTAATCATATTACACACACATGCGCGCGCACACACATATATATGTATATATGTATAGGTGCCTAAAGTGTCAAATGTGTTGCAAATCTCCATGCCATTTGAGTATGACATTTTTCTTGATGTCATTTTTGTCATTATTTTTGTGAGAATTTATTAGAGAGAATTATGATAAGGTCCAAAGAAAAAAGAAGATAATTATCAATTAGTCCCTGTGACAAATGAGTAGTTATCATTTATTACTCTGAAAGTTATTATTGCATGCTATACTAGTAATTATATTTTTCACTTGGGACTTCACAACAATTCTCTCAATTTATTATCACTTATCCAATTGAGGCTATGATAATTGAAGTCATCTCTTCCAATCCCTCCTAACATTTACTGTAGTTTAGATTATTTTCTTGATATAGCTAGATTTTATTTCCTTTTAATCTTTGTTTTAACTTGCTTCTTACGCAAATTAAGAGAATGTGTTAACGCTTAACTAGGTTGTTGGTATTATTTATTTATTTTTTTGTAAAAAATATTCTTCTTATCACTTTATTATTTTACAATGACGGATTATGGAATAAAACCTGAATAATAATTCTATATAGTTGCACATAATTAAGTTAAAAAACTGTCATACTCGCAAAATCTACTTATAAAAAAAAAAACGCGTTTGGAATGGTCTTTAAGACCAGACCATAAAAATAGTAGTTGTAGACTTTCGAATTTTTAGATGTAAAAAGTTGATGTTTTCGGGCATGGGTTTCCCTTCTACATTTTTATGATATTTTTATATTCTTTTAGTTATATAGTACATTTATTATCTTCTTCTTTTCTGGTTGGGGACACTTGAGCACTGCACACAGAATCCACAACAGGACATTGAAATCCCTAATCTCCAACTACTAATACAAATTTAAGCATTACTATAAAAAAAAAATCAGGAGTTAGCATAATTTTAGTTTGCATCTTTAAACTTTCAACAATAACCTTACATAAAAAAAATATTTAAAGATGTTCAAGCTTGTTTTTTTAAATGAAAAGGGCAGCTGAGTAGGTACTAAAGGCATGGGATTATATTACAGGGGATATCAAACCTGTGACTTTTCTTTTAGAAAAGATTTCTCATATGCCGTTAGACCACAACGCTATTATTTTAAAAATGTTCAAACCTTGTGTTTGATCAACCTGGAGCTGCAAATACCATATAGGCCACCAGAGATAGAATTGTTAAGGCTAAGCTTGACCATTTGGTGGAAGTTCATGAAGGGTGGTAGTATTTTCCAAAACAATTAATTAGAAAAAGTTTAGGCATTTCTAGTTAATTGTCATCCTCTTCATGTGAATCTATTTAGCATATTTGAGAGTTTATTTTATTCCAATTCTAACTATGTGGGATCCAATAGACTAGTTTTGTATTTTATTATGCCCTTCTCACACGTTACGTTTATATCCACTGCCTTAATTTGACGTTCTCCAAAGACTTTTGACTCAAATGTGTGCTCATCTTACACGTCTTTAATAATGAGTTTGCTTTTTTCGGATTTTTATAGGACCTTTATATGTGTTGTGGCATTCATCTCATGTTTAGCAATCTCTTGTCTATTTTTACCGTGCAAGACTTTAATATTGACAAAGACCATTAAAAATGATATTCTTTTTTTTCTTCTTTGATTTTTCAAAAAAGAAGGGGGAAAAAACTTTATTATCTATTACAATTGCTACCGTCATCTATTTTCACAGATTATATACGTACAAAGTTTTTTTTTTAAAAAAAACAATTTGATAAATAGATGAAATCCATGTGAAGAGAAAAACTGGTTTCCATAGTGTTTATATTACCTCCGGTCCTAATTATAAAAGTTAGTTGACTAATTTGAGGAGATTAAAAAAATAAGTTAAGTTAGTTATTTGTAATAAATATATGTTGTCTTTCCTAAGATATCCTTACTAATCAAATGTATTGGCTAGAACTGTTATTATTAGAAAAACTACCTTAAAAAATGTATAAATATGATAGACAAAATGGATTGAGGTTTTATATTTAGGATCAAAATAAAAGTTAAACAAGATTTTATATTAAGAACCGGACGTAGTATTTTTTAAGGTCAAGGGTCAAATATATATATATGAAAATATACTAAAACTTCACCCAACATCGTGAATATTCTTTGGGTTCAAATTGACTAATTCAAATTTAAAAAGAGCTCAATAATGCCAATGCTATCAAAATTAACAAATGTCCCTTTTTCAGCAATGGGACCCATGATTTTTTTTTTAGCGAAAGTAACAAAATACCCCTAATTAAAACGAAAAAAAAAAAGTTAAGGGTGAAAAAAGTTGACGTTTTCGGGCATGAGTTTCCGTTCTACATTTTTATGATATTTTTATATTCTTTTAGTTATATAGTACATTTATCTTCTTCTTCTTTTCTTCTTTTCTGGTTGGGGACGCTTGAACACTGCACACAAATCCCACAACAGGACATCGAAATCCCTAATCTCCAACTACTAATACAAATTTAAGCATTGCTATAAACAAAAAAAATCAGGAGTTAGCATAATTTTAGTTTGAATCTTTAAACTTTCAACCCATAATCTTACATAAAAAAATATCTAAAGATGTTCAAGCTTGTTTTTTTCAATGAAAAGGGCAGCTGAGTAGGTACTAAAGGCCTAGGATTATATTACAGGGGATATCAAACCTGTGACCTTTCTTTTAGAAAAGATTTTTCATATGCCGTTAGACCACAACGCTATTATTTTAAAAATGTTCAAACTTTGTGTTTGATCACTCTGGAGCTGCAGATACCCTTTAGGCCACTAGAGAAAGAAATGTTAAGGCTAAGCTTGACCATTTGGTAGAAGTTCATGGAGGGTGGTAGTTTTTTCCAAGACAGTTAATTAGAAAAAATTTAGGCATTTCTAATTAATTGTCATCCACTTCATGTGAATCTATTTAGCATATTTGAGAGTTTATTGTATTCCAATTCCTATTATGTGGGACCCAATAGACCAGTTTTGTATTTTATTATGCCCTTCTCACACGTTACTTTATGTCTATTGTCTTAATTTGGATGTTCTTCAAAGACTTTTGACTCTAATGTGTGCCCGCCTTCCACGTCTTTAATAAGGAGTTTGCTTTTTTTGGATTTTCATAGGACCTCTACAGGTGTTGTGGCGTTCATCTCACGTTTAGCAATCTCTTGTCTATTTTTACTATACAAGACTTTAATATTGACGAAGACATTAACAATGATATTCTTTTCTTATTCTTCTTTGATTTTCCAAAAAAGAAGGGGAAAAAATCTCTACTATCTATTACGATTATTACAATCATCTATTCTCACAGATTATATACGTACAAAGTTTTAAAAAGAAAACAATTTGATAAATATAAATCCGTGTGAAGAGAAAAACTAGTTTCCATAGTGTTTGTATTTTTTAGGGTTAAGGGTCAAAAATATTTATAAAATTATACTAAAACTTCACCCAATATCATGAATTTTCTTTGGGTTGAAATTGACTAATTCAAATTTAAAAAGAGTTCAATAATGCCAATGATATCAAAATTAACAAATGTCCCTTTTTTAGCAATGGGACCCATGATTTTTTTTTTTAGTGAAAGTATCAAAATACCCCTAATTAATCGAAAAACAAGTTAAGGATAAAAAATACTCATGAACTTCATCAAACACCATATGATTTTTAATAAAAGTACCAAAATACTATTAATTTTGAAAGGCTATTGCATTAGAGTGTGTTAGATATTATTAAGTATAATAAATTTTTATATCACCAATCTTTATAATTAAAAAGATTATTAATCTTTTTCAATAGCTTTTTATTAGCCAATTTTTTCGCTTTCTATAAAAACTAGCCTATTGTTATAGTTATTCTATTCATTAATGGCTGAAAATATTTTAATAGCATAAATATTATACATAATAATTAAATATTTTTGTAACTACTAAAAATAGCCTTAAATTTTCTCAAAGAATTTAAACATAAACATAAAAGAAATTTCAGGTTCACTGTTAAATTTGATAACATAGACTAGAGGATAAACACACAGCTCCATGTATAGTTGATATAAGTAACTTATTTTCAAAAGATATCCATAATGTCTACTAAAAAAAAAAAGATTGGGGACATAAATAACTTAACATTGAAGAGCAATCCAATTCAAGCTTAAACTTTTTTTATGTTAGTTATTTTAATTATAAAAATTTTATTATAATTAATAATCTCTAACACACTAATACAATAGCCTTTCGAGATTGGGTGTATTTTGATACTTTTATATATATTATATGGTGTTTGGTCAACTTTAAGTATAAGTTCATGTGACTCTAAATTTTTTTCCGTTTTAGTTGAGGGTATTTTGGTATTTTTATTAAAAAACCTATGGGTCCCACAACAAAAAAACGGATGTTTGTTAATTTTAACGACGCTGACATTATTAATCTCTTTTTCAAACTTGAATTGGTAAATTCGATCACAAAAAAAGTTCATGGTGTTAAGTAAAGTTTTGGTATATTTTCATAAGTGTTTTTAACCTTTAACCCTATTTTTTTGATAAAAAAATGTACACATTTTGAGTAAAACAAAAGTGTGATAAATAATATCTAAAAGTCATTTTACAATTTATGATGTAAATAATTTAAATATGATGATCATAATACTAATAAATGCCCTATCAATTAATAACCAGAGTGAATAATGAAGTGCACATAACTTTCATTGCAAAAGAGAAATAAAGATTGCATAACAATACGAAAGAGAAATAAGCTTTTGTCCTTTGTCATTTCAATATTTCTCTATGTAAAGACTCTTGAGACTGTACTCATTTTGTGACCATCACTTTGTGGAAAGAAATTAAATAAAAAATGGGCGTCATAGTGGTATTTTTATTAAGCTTTTCCGCAACAAAATTAAAATTTGTTCTTAAAACAAAAAAATCAAAACATTTTTTTTATTTTTCTTCCTTTTGTTTTATAAAATTAGGGAAGAGATGCAGAATATTATATTTCTGTTAATTATATCAAGTTAATAAAGCAAACTAGTTTTGACCCTTCACTTCATCATTTTATGTATGGTTTTTGAAATAATGATTCTAACATCTTTTATTTTTTTATTTTTGGTATTCAAAAATTATTCTAAAAAGTAGTTCTAAAAACATAAAAGTTGAGCATAAAATCAAACAAGCTTTTATTTTATTTACTTTCTTTTTTTATTTATTTTTAATAGTCAAAGTTAGTTAACACGTTTCTTTATATGCCACTTAAAAGTTATAATTTTGTTTTTAAGAAAAATAAATTTATGCTTCTATAAAGACTCAGCCTCTGCACTCATTTGATGATCACATTGCATGAATCAGTGGCATTCTCCGAAATTATGTCGACCACTCCAACAATAAGCACTGTGATGGTAAATAGTGATTTTCTGACTATGCCCTGCCATTACTTTCTTTAATAATATTGCCACCTCCACGATAGCAAAGGAGAAACATGCTAGCAACTAGTGGTAAGAAAAGGTATATTTCCATAATTTGATTTGTCTTTCAAAATATAATCCTAAAAGTTAAAAATAATGGGTTCTTTAACTCAGAGTTCCATCAGACCACTATGCTGTGATGTTCATCATCTCATATTTGGCAATTTCATGCCCATTTTCACTATAATAACTCCAAAGACTAAAGACTTTAATATTGACTAAGACCATTAATTAACAACTGAGGCAATCTCACATGACGATTTGCCATTGGACCTACACACTTCAATGACTTTGACGCGTCGAAGGGAGATTCAATAATATTGCTCTATATATAGAAACTCTGCAGATGCACTCATTTTATGATTGCTTTGTGTAGACAAAGAAACTGACGATGGGTGTGATGAGAGCGGTATTTTTATTATGCTTTGTTGTAATAACTTGCTTCCACATTAATGGTGTAGCATCAGTTGCCATGATAAAAGAGGAGAAACATGCTTTGCTTCAGACTAAATGTTGGAATTTTAGCAACAGAGCCCACAACTTGTCAGACCCTTGTCACTGGGAAGGCATATCTTGCAATGATTTTGGAAGCCTTGTTGAGATGAATTATCAACAGATGACTACACAATGCTACTGTCTAGCAGATTTCAATTTCACTGCATTTCCCAATCTAGAATGTCTCACACTTTCTAAAACGGGTTTGATAGATACCATTCCAAGTCAGATAGGATCTCTTCATAAACTTATCCATCTAAACTTATCTTTTAACAATCTTACTGGTGAGTTGTATATCTTGTACTTTTACTCTTACCATGCAAATTAACTTAATTCAAAAATATTATATTTACCACCATACAACCTAATACTTCTATCAACAGGGATTATTCCATCCCAAATAGGAGCTCTTCAAAAGCTCACTTATTTGGATTTGTTTGACAATAGTCTTACTAGTGAGTCACGTATCTTCTATTTCTGCTCTTACCTTGCAAATTCACTCAATTTTGAAGTATTGTATTTATCTCCACACAACCTAATACTTTTATTGACAAGGATCATTCCACCACAGATAGGATCTCTTCATAATCATATTCATCTATACTTATCTTCTAACAATTTTACTTTTGAGTTATATATCTTTCATTTCTACTCTTATCTTGTAAATTCACTTAATTTGAAATATTATATTTATCTCGACACAACCTAATACTTTTATTGACAAAGATCATTCCATCACAGATAGGATTTCTTTATAATCTGATTCATCTATACTTATCTTCTAACAATCTTACTTATGAGTTATATATCTTTCCTTTCTACTCTTACCTTGTAAATTCACTCAATTTGAAAATATTATATTTACCCCTACACAACCTAATACCTCTATTGACAGGGATCGGATCATTCCATCACAGATAGGATATCTTCAAAATCTCACTTATCTGGACTTGTCTTCTAACAATCTTATTGATAAGTTATATATCTTCTATTTCTACTATTTTCTGGACTTATCTTCTAACAGTCTTACTGATGACTTATATATCTTCCATTTCTACTCTTAGCTTGGAAATTAAGTGAATTTTCAAATATTGTATTTATCTCCCCACACCCTAATACCTCTATCAATAGGGATCATTCCATCACAGATAGGATCTTTACATAATCTGATTAAACTACACTTGTATTCTAACAGTCATACCGATGAGTTACATATCTTCCATTTCTGCTCTTACCTTAGAAAGTCACTAAATTTTGAAATATTGTATTTTTCTCCACACAACCTAATACTTCTATTGACAGGGATTATTCCATCCCAAATAGGAGCTCTTCAAAAGCTCATTTATTTGGATTTGTTTGACAACAATCTTACTGGTGAGTCACGTATCTTTTATTTTTGCTCTTACCTTGCAAATTCACTCAATTTTGAAGTATTGTATTTATCTCCACACAACCTAATACTTTTATTGACAGGGATCATTCCATCACAGATAGGATCTCTTCATAATCATATTCATCGATACTTATCTTCTAACAATTTTACTTATGAGTTACATATCTTTCATTTCTACTCTTATCATGTAAATTTACTCAATTTGGAAATATTATATTTATCTCCACACAACCTAATACTTTTACTGACAAGGATCATTCCATCACAGATAGGATCTCTTGATAATCTGATTCATCTATACTTATCTTCTAACAATCTTACTTATGAGTTATATATCTTTCATTTCCACTCTTACCCTGTAAATTCACTCAATTTGGAAATATCATATTTACCCCCACACAACCTAATACCTCTATTAACAGGGATCATTCCATCACAGATAGGATCTCTTCATAATCATATTCATCTATACTTATCTTCTAACAATTTTACTCATGAGTTATATATCTTTCATTTCTACTCTTATCTTGTAAATTCACTCAATTTTGAAATATCAAATTTATCTCCACACAACCTAATACTTTTATTGACAAGAATCATTCCATCACAGATAGGATCTCTTTATAATCTGATTCATTTATACTCATCTTCTAACAATCTTACTTATGAGTTATATATCGTTCATTTCTACTCTTACCTTGTAAATTCACTCAATTTGAAAATATTATATTTACCCCCACACAACCTAATACCTCAATTGACAGGGATCATTCCATCACAGATAGGATATCTTCAAAATCTCACTTATCTGGGCTTGTCTTATAACAGTCTTACTGGTAATATATCTTCCATTTCTACTATTACCTTGCAAATTCACTAAATTTGAAATATTGTATTTACCTCCACACAACCTAATACTTCTATTGACAGGGATTATTCCATCTCAAATAGGAGCTCTTCAAAAGCTCATTTATTTGCAGTTGTTTCACAACAATCTTTCTGGTGAGTCATGTATCTTCTATTTCTGCTCTTACCTTGCAAATTCACTCAATTTTAAAGTATTGTATTTATCTCCACACAACCTAATACTTTTATTGAGAGGGATCATTCCATCACAGATAGGATCGTTTCATAATCATATTCATCTATACTTATCTTCTAACAATCTTACTTATGAGTTATATATCTTTCATTTCTACTCTTATCTTGTAAATTCACTCAATTTGGAAATATTACATTTATCTCTACACAACCTAATACTTTTATTGACAAGGATCATTCCATCACAGATAGGATCTCTTGATAATCTGATTCATCTATACTTATCTTCTAACACTCTTACTTATGAGTTATATATCTTTCATTTCTACTCTTACCTTGTAAATTCACTCAATTTAGAAATATTATAATTACCCCTACACAACCTAATACCTCTATTGACAGGGATGATTCCATCTCAAATAGGAGCATTTCAAAATCTCACTTATCTGGACTTATTTGATGAGTTATATATCTTCCATTTCTACTCTTAGCTTGCAAATTAAGCAAAATTTTGAATATTGTATTTATCTCCCCACAACTTAATACCTCTATGGATAGGAACCATTCCATCACAGATAGGATCTCTGCATAATCTGATTGAACTACGCTTGTATTCTAACAGTCTTACTGTTGAGTTACATATCTTCCATTTCTGCTCTTACCTTGGAAAGTCACTAAATTTTGAAATATTGCATTTATCTGCACATAACTTAACACTTCTATTGAGGGGGATTATTCCATCCCAAATAGGAGCTCTTTAAAATCTCACTTATCTGGACTTATCTTCTAACAGTTTTACTGATGAGTTATATATCTTCCATTTCTGCGCTTACCTTGCAAATTCACTCAATTTTGAAGTATTGTATTTATCTCCCCACGACCTAATACCTCTGTTGACAAGGACCATTCCATCACAGATAGGATCTCTGCATAATCTGATTGAACTATGCTTGTCTTCTAACAGTCTTACTGTTGAGTTACATATCTTTCATTTCTGCTCTTACCTTAGAAAGTCACTAAATTTTGAAATATTGTATTTATCTCCACACAACCTAACACTTCTATTGACAGGGATTATTCATCCTAAATAGGAGCTCTTCAAAATCTCACTTATCTGGACATATCTTCCAATAGTCTTACTGGTGAGTTATATATCTTTCATTTCTACTCTTATCTTGTAAATTCACTCAATTTGGAAAGATTATTTATCTCAACACAACCTATTACTTTTATTGACAAGGATCATTCCATCACAGAGAGGATCTCTTGATAATCTGATTCATCTATACTTATCTTCTAACACTCTTACTTATGAGTTATATATCTTTCATTTCTACTCTTACCTTGTAAATTCACTCAATTTAGAAATATTATATTTACCCCTACACAACCTAATACCTCTATTGACAGGGATGATTCCATCCCAAATAGGAGCTCTTCAAAATCTCACTTATCTGGACTGATCTGATAAGTTATATATATCTTCCATTTCTACTCTTAGCTTGCAAATTAAGTAAATTTTTGAATATTGTATTTATCTCCCCACAACTTAATACCTCTATGGACAGGGACCATTCCATCACAGATAGGATCTCTGCATAATCTGATTGAAGTACGATTGTATTCTAACAGTCTTACCATTGAGTTACATATCTTTCATTTTTGCTCTTACCTTGGAAAGTCACTAAATTTTGAAATATTGCATTTATCTCCACACAACCTAACACTTCTATTGACATGGATTATTCCATCCCAAATAGCAGCTCTTCAAAATCTCACTTATCTAGACTTGTCTTCTAACAATCTTACTGGTGAGTTATATATCTTCTATTTCTACTCTTATCTAGACTTATCTGGACTTATCTTCTAACAATCTTATTGATGAGTTATATGTCTTCCATTTCTACTCTTAGCTTGCAAATTAAGTAAATTTTCAAATATTGTATTTATCTCCCCACAACTTAATACCTTTATTGACAGGGAGCATTCCATCACAGATAGGATCTCTACATAATCTGATTGAACTACTCTTGTATTCTAACAGTCTTACTGTTGAGTTACATATCTTCCATTTCTGCTCTTACCTTGGAAAGTCACTAAATTTTGAAATATTGTATTTATCTCCACACAACCTAACACTTCTATTGACAGGGATTATTCCATCCCAAATAGCAGCTCTTCAAAATCTCACTTATCTGGACATATCTTCCAATAGTCTCACTGGTGAGTTATATATCTTCCATTTCTACTCTTAGCTTGAAAATTAATTAAATTTTTGAATATTGTACTTATCTTCCCACAACCTAATACCTCTATTGACAGGGAGCATTCCATCACAGATAGGATCTCTACATAATCTGATTGAACTACGCTTGTATTCCAACAGTCTTACCGGTGAGTTACATATCTTCTATTTCTGCTCTTACCTTGGAAAGTCACTAAATTTTGAAATATCGTGTTTATCTCCACACAACCTAATACTTCTATTGACAAGAATTATTCCATCCCAAATAGGAGCTCTTCAAAAGCTCATTTATTTGGAGTTGTTTGACAACAATCTTACTGGTGAGTCACTTATCTTCTATTTCTGCTCTTACCTTGCAAATTCGTTCAGTTTTGAAGTATTGTATTTATCTCCACATAACCTAATACTTTTAGTGACAAGGATCATCCATCACAAATAGGATCTCTTCATAATCATATTCATCTATACTTATCTTATAACAATCTTACTTATGAGTTATATATCTTTCATTTCTACTCTTACATTGTAAATTCACTCAATTTGAAAATATTATATTTACCCCCACACAACCTAGTACATCTACTGATAGAGATTATTCCATCCCAAATAGGGGCTCTTCAAAAGCTTACTTATCTGGACTTGTCTTCTAACAGTCTTACTGCTGAGTTATATGTCTTCCATTTCTACTCTTATCTTGCAAATTAAGTAAATTTTGGAATATTGTATTTATCTCCTCACAACCTAATACCTCTATTGACAGGGACCATTCCATCACAGATAGGATCTCTTCATAATCTGATTGAGCTAGACTTGTCTTATAATTGTCTTACTGGTAAGTTATATATCTTCCATTTCTACTGTTACCTTACAAATTCACTAAATTTTGAAATATTGTATTTACCTCCACACAACCTAATATCTTTATTGACAAGGATTATTTCATCCCAAATAGGAGCTCTTCAAAATCTTACTTATTTGGACTTGTCTTGTAATAGTCTTACTGGTACGTTATATATCTTCCATTTCTACTCTTACAAATTTACTCCAATTTAAAAATACTGTATTTGAAATGACGCCTTCTTAATACATAATTATAAAACCATTTTTTTGATGATAACCATGGCATACTTCATGCAAAAGTACACATATGCAACAACACAATAAAATATGCCTCCCATCACCATACTTCTCCTTATGGCTCCTTGACAAGGTTTTGGGCTTTTTGTGCTAAGTAACCTGGCCAAAAATCACCCCATTCACATCAAGCAACGGATCCCTCTTGCACCTACACAACTCAAGAATGGACTATGGTGCATGAGGTGTCTACCCAAAAGCTCTTTCTCAACTTCGGGCCAAGAAAAAGGAAGAACTATATGGGTCTGACAAAAAGACCAAACAGTATGATTAGTAGTGTATGCATACCACGCGGGCTTCAAGACCAATTATCCCCCACATAACAAAATCCCAACCTCCACATATGAACCCTATGCTTAGTCACAATATAAATTAAAAATATCATAGTTCTGCGAAGTAAGATGATATAGTTTCAAACAAAGTACAACATATTTTCATTTTATTTAATAATATAATATTAGTATATCAAATTCAGTATCAGTGTATCACAAAAAAAACATAATTCTCAATAAAATACAATTTAGGCATAATTAAATCGACATACTTCCCGATTTATCAAAATTTGTCATGTAAAAAAAAATACATACTTTATTCATAGACATACTTTCACAAATTCATATGAGAAAATAAAAATGTAGTAAACACCTTACAATTCAAAGCATGTATATAAAATAAATTAACCTTGGTTACCTCTACTCCAAGCTTAACTCACAGCTTGAGAAAGAAAAGTACAAATTACAGACTCCAAAATATAAAGTAATATACAAATAATGATCTACAAATAATGTAGATACAATTTAATATACATACAAATAAATAAGTTAAATTACATAGGATTTATTATTATTAATATATATACGTATATTTACTACTCAAAAATTCTTACTTCAAATAACAATTTTTCTTTACCCAAATAACTCATTTAAATTACAAATAAATATTGATTTTATTTAATTATGTAAAATTTTTAATTTATAACTTAAGTTTCTAGCTTAAAAATCTTTTCCAATAATATATCCTTAACCTATTTCATATTTTAAGCCAATCAAAATCTCAATAATATATTAAATAACCCAAATAAGTTATTTAATTTAAATTTAATTGGTAAAAACATTCTATATCTCTTCAATAATACATTTTTCAACTAAAATCTTAGTGTAAAATTTTCAAAACAATCAATGAATAAATATAAACTGATTAAAATTTCAATAATATATCAAACAACCCAAATAAATTATTTAACTTAATTGTAATTGGTATAAATATGATATATATCATAAATGACAAATTTTTCAACAAAATAAATTTGATTTCAAATACCAAAAGTAATAAATGGACAAATATGGACTGATTAAAATTAACTACTTATTTACCTCTAAATTTCTATGGTCATCTATTGTCAAAACTCAATACTTACTTCATACCTAAATCCCAAAATTTTCTCTAAACATTATAATGATACTACTAATATAAAGCTCTAAATATATAAAAAATATTCAAAAAGAAAATTTAATAAAAAGAAGTACTTTTATGTACCTAAATAATCCACAAAGCTTGTATTACTCTTCAAAATGTTAATGTTTCTCTGCTTCTCTCTCTTCCTCTCTTTCTCTGAGTCTCGTTCTCTCCCTCTCTTTCTCTTCTCTCTCTGCCTAACCTCCCTCCTCTTATTTATCCTTCCCACTCAACCGTCTCATCCTATTTTTATTTCTTTATTTATTAACCTCCTCTATTTTTCTTCTTCTTCTTAAATGTTCTTGCCTTTTCCACCGAATTTGGTGGAAAGTGCGTGTTTTTTTTTTTACTTTCTCTTTTTTTAATAAAGTATTATTATTTATAATAATAAAATATTATTATTTTATATGATTTAATTATTATTATTTTGAAATCATAATAATTTTTTTAATACTAAAATAACATTTAGGATGTTAAGCTCTCCCCTTCTAAATAGAATTTTGTCTTTAAAATTTGTGACACGTAAGAAATATAGCAACATAACAACATTAAAGAAATAGACAATATCACTACACACATACTATCAACACACAAGATAGTACATAATCAGCACATCAACACATACTTAAGAAAACAGATGTGGATAATCATGTCACATTCGCTCCTCAGTTTCCCAAGGGGCATCACCAGGAGACATGTCTTTCTAGAAAACCTGAAGTAACTGGATTGTTTTATTGAAGTTGCTTATCCTTAACATCTAGAATACATTTGAGCTTAGCTTGAAAGGTAAGATTCTCTTATAACTCAATCTCCTCAGTCTCGATCACATGAGATAGATCTGGATGATACTTCTTGAGTTGTGACACATGAAAGACATTGTGCTCATCAGAGAGATGCGGTGGTAAAGCAATTCGATAAGTGATCAGTACAATTCACTCTAAAATCTCATAAGGTCCAAGATATCGAGGAGTCAGCTTCTTGGCCTTAATAGATCTACCAATACCAGTCACTAGTGAAACTTTCAAAAACACATAGTCACCCAATTCAAATTTCAAAGGCCTCCGTCAGTTTGCATAACTCTTCTAGAGACTCTGAGCGGTCATCAACTTTGATTAATTCAATTTTTTTTATGGTTGCATCCACAAAGCCAGGGCCAACAATGGTTCTATCACTCAATTCAATCCAACACAGTGGTGATTTACACTTTCTTCTATACAATGCTTCATAAGGTGCCATCTGGATACTCGCATGATAGCTATTATTATAGGCGAATTCTGCTAGTGGAACATGATGATCCCAACTACCCAAAAATTCAATGGCACAAGCCCTCAACATATCCTCAAGAGTTTGGATGGTTCTCTCAGTTTGACCATCAGTTTGGGGATGATACGCCGTACTGAACTTCAACTCTGTGTGAAAGGCTCCTTGCATATCTCAATCTGATATGATATCTTTTGGTATCTAATGCAATCTCATAATCTCATCTACGTACAATTGAGCGAGTTTTTCCATAGAATAAGTAGACTTGATTGGGAGAAAGTAGGATGACTTTGTTAGTCTATCTACAATGATAAAGTCCATTAAAATGATATCCTATTTTCACTTAGAGATTTCCAAGTTTTGGATTAAACTCGGTGGCTGTTGGTGTTCAATTTTGACTTTCTGACAAGTCAAACCCTTGAGTACCAAATTAGTCATATCACACTTTATCGCTGGCCACCAATACTCTTGCTTTAGATCATGGTACATCTTGGTTATTCTAGGGTGAATGGTGTACTTAGTTCTATGTGCCTCCTCAAGAATTGTCCTTTTTTATTTTTTTATTATCTGGAACACAAATCCTTCTCTTGGACCTTAAGATTCATTCGTCTTCAATGTCATAATCCGATACAGCTCTATTTTCTAGTTCTTCTCTTACCCTTATTAATTCATCATCCTTCATTTGGGCTATCTTCAACTCTTTAAAAAAGTCAAAGTCCCCAAGTACTCCATTTAAAGTAACAATAATCTCCATTGTCTTAGCCATAATTGGTATTTCTATTAGCTCCTCTAGCAAGTGATGCTCTGTCATACTCATATAGAAAACATGAATTGTCTTTCTACCCAATACACTAGCCACCATATTAGCCTTCCCTTCATGGTATTCTATTCAAAATCATAATCCGCTAAGAATTCCATCCCTCTTCATTGACGATTATTTAACTCTTTCTGATCTACCAGGTCCTTTAAGCTTTTATGGTCACTGAAAATCTCACACTACACACCATAAAGATAGTGTCTGCAAATCTTTAAGGCAAACACAATTGCTGCTAATTCCAAGTCATAGGTGTGGTAATTTTCCTCATGAGATCTCAATTGTCCGGATGCATAAGCTAATACCCTATTATCTTGCATCAATACACTACCCAAACCTTTCAAAGATGCATCTGTGTACACCGTATACAATAGTGATGGTTCAGGTATAGTGAGGACAGGTGTCATGGTCAACTTCGTTTTCAACTCTTGAAATGCAGCTTCACACTTTTTTGTCCATACAAGAGGTTTGTCCTTCTTCATCAGGTTAGTTAGTGGCATGGCTATTTGAGAAAAGCTTTTAATGAAATGGCGGTAATACCTGATTACCCCACAAAGCTTCTTACTTTAGTCACAAACTTGGGAGTTTCCCATTTTAACATTGCCTCTACTTTACTTGGATCCACGACCACACCTTTGGCAGATACCACATGACCTAAAAACTTTACCTCCTTTAACGAAAACTCACACTTGCTCAAGTTGGCATATAACTTGTTCTCTCTTTATATTTGTAGTACAATATGAAGGTGTTTACGATTCTCCTCCTCACTTTTTGAGTACATGAGATATCATCAATGAAAACTACAACAAACTGATCTAAATAAGGCCTGCAAATTCTATTCATATAGTCCTAAACACCGCTAGGGTGTTTGTTAATCCAAAAGGCATCACTAGAAACTCATAGTGACCATAACGAGTTTGAAAGTGGTCTTGGGAATGTCCTCTACCTTGATCCTTAACTGATGATAGTCAGACCTTAAATCAATTTTGGAGAACACAGAAGAACCTACAAGCTGATCAAGCAAGTCATCAATTCTTGGAAGGGGATACTTATTCTTAATTGTGACCTTATTCAACTGACGATAATCTACAATAATGGCTTCGACTACCCTTGTGACTGGGATAGCATATCTTGCAATGTCTTTGGAAATGTAATTTCAATAGAACAACTAAGAATCCATTCACAGCAACCTCGGCTAGTAGATCTTAACTTCACCACATTACAAAAACTAAAATATTTATATCTTTCTAGAATGAGGTTAACAAGTACCACTCTGATTTTAAGCGAAGCTCTTTATTCATTCATTCATTCATTCATCTAATGTCTTACAATAATCTTACTTACATTACACTGTTGCCAACCTTACTCATTTAAAGTTGCTCAATATGAATGGAAACAATCCAGTTGGACCCGTTCATTCAACTTTGTATTTTACGAAAAATATTAAAGACTTGTTTTTTGTACACAAATTTATTTATTGCATCACAAAAGAACTAGTAGTATATAACTGAATAATCATGGAATAGAGTTGATAAGTACCATTCCAACTCAGATTGGAGTTCTTCTTAATCTCATAAATCTGAACTTATCTTATAACAATCTTACTAGTAATTTATGTGCCTTATACTATACCTTACAAATTCACTCAATTTAAAACTATTATATTTACCTTTATGACTTAATAAAATAGGTTATTACCAGGTACCATTCGAACACAAATAGGAGCTCTTCAAAATCTCAATTATTTGAACTTGTTTCATAACAACTTTTTATTTGATCAAAAATAACCTAAGACATACATTTGCAATTAAAAGGAATGTGTTTTGATTTTGACAGATCCCATTCCAACTCAAATAGAAGATCTTCCACAACTCACATATCTAAACTTGTCTTACAACAATATTGTTTCAAGTGAGTTACTTCTCATCCTTATCTAAATTAAAAAAAAGGAAAAATGAAATATTACATTGAAGACATGTTTTAAATGATCAAAATACCTAGCATATGTTTTGAGCTAAAAAAAAAAACTATAGCATTACGAAGTCACTTTTAAGCTTTATGATACAAACAATTCAAACATAATAGGGAGAATTACAATCAAGCTCCAAGGAAGAGAAATAATTACTAAAACAATAACAACCTCAGTAACCTATAATGACAAGTGCCAAAGTACACAATGACAATTTTTAGAACTTATTTTGTAATTATTTTTCTTTCTTAAGACTTGATTGTAATTCTCCCAATGTAATAAGGAAAAGAGAATAATATGCTGAATGCTTTATGAATTAACCACAATAATAAAGAAACAAGCTTTTGGTTGTAATGGAAACTCCTTCAGTGAAACTTCTAGAGTGATGTTGTAAGCTTTTGTTATTCAAACACATGTCTATAATATCACAACTGCCATGACCACAGGGAATGAGCATGCAGTGCTTCAAAGCAAATGGTGGAACTTAAGCAATGGTGGCTCCCACTACTATTGTGACTGGGATGGCATATCATGCGATGGCTTAGGAAGAGTTATCTTAATTAACCAACCAAGAATCTATTCACAGCATCCTCAACTAGCAGATCTCAACTTCACTGAATTAGAAAGACTAAAATACTTAAATCTTTCTAGAATGGGGATAACAGGTACAACTTTAATTCAAATTAGAACCCTTCATTCATTCATCCAATATTTACACTTGTCTTGCAATAATTTTACTTACTTCCACTAACCTTAATTATTTAAGATTACTCAATTTGAATAGAAACAATCTAATTGGAGTCGTTCGTTCAGTACTGGGTGTATAATAACTATAAAAGACTTACATTTGTGCACACATTTATTCACTATGTTATAAAAAAATATTATATTTGAATTTTCATATAATGGTGACAGGTACCATTCCAACTCACATAGGAGGTCTTCAAAATCTCAATTATTTGGACTTGTCTTGCAACAACCTTACAGGTGCCATACCTTCCACCTTTCCCAACTCATATAATATAAAAAAAATATTGTATTTAAATTTTCATGGAATGGTGACAGGTATCATTCCAACTCATATAGGAGGCCTTCAAAATCTCAATTATTTGGACTTGTCTTGCAACAACCTTTCAGGTGTTCTACCTTCCAACCTTCCCAACTTTATTTAGAATCACTAGATTTGAGTAGAAACAAAAAAAATAGTTGGGGTCATTCTTTAAACTTCAGGTTTTATGACAGATCTCCACAACTTATATTTATACTCAAATTTATTCACTACAGGTGGCATCCCTTCTTCAATTTTCGATTTGAGATATTTACAAGATTTTGATGCTTCTCAAAATCAATTAAGTGGTGGCATTCCAGAAAAATTAGGAAATTTCAATATTGGCTTTCACATAAATGTCTCCCAAAATAATCTGAGTGGAAACATACCGGACATTTTGAACTACTTAGATGTTGATGTTAACTTTACTCACAACAAATTCAATGGAATATTACCATCTAATATATGCAGTGAGCCACCATCATGTAGCATTGACTTAAGCTACAACAGTATCTCTGGTAGCATACCTGGAGAATTTGGTAGGCTACAATACATCAACTTGTCATACAATCTTCTTAGCGGCTATGTTCCAAGTGAAGTTTATAGCTCTTTTCCTCATGACATTTTAAATGGTAATAGAGAATTACTTACGCCAGAGAAGATACATAAAGGCTCAAAGTCTTGGCTGAAAATCATTATTCCTTTGACAATTTTTCTTGTCATCACATTTGTTGTGGGTTTTATCTTATTTGAATCATTCAAAAAGCACAAGAAATCCATAAGTAAGGCAAGAGAAGCAAAAAATGGGGATTTGTTTTCCATATGGAATTATGATGGAAAAATTGCATATGAAGATATCATTGAAGCAACAGAGGACTTTGACATCAAATATTGTATCGGAACCGGTGCTTATGGAAGTGTTTATAGGGCACAACTTCCAAGTGGCAAAATCATAGCATTGAAAAAACTCCATAGAAGAGAATATGGAGACACATTTTTGGCCAAGAGTTTTCACAATGAAGTGAAGATGTTGAGTGAAATTCGACATCGCAATATTGTAAAGCTTCATGGTTTTTGTTTGCATAATCAATGCATGTTTCTCATATATGAATACATGGAAAGAGGAAGCCTTTTTTATGTGTTGAATTATGATGATAAAGCTAAAGAGTTGAATTGGAGTAAGAGAGTGAATGCCATTAAAGAAATAACAAATGCTTTGTTGTATATACATCATCATTGTGCTCCTTCAATTATCCACTGAGACATAACAAGCAATAATATATTGTTGAACTCAAAGATGGAAGCTTTTTTATCAGACTTTGGCAGGCTAGGATCATTGATCCAAATACATCTAATCAGACTCTTTTAGTTGGTACTTATGGTTATGTTGCTCCAGGTGGGCTTTTCTAATTCTCTGCTACTGGTCCTTCTATGTTGTATTTTATTTCTATAGTATATTGCTTGTCTTGGGATAAATACATAATTATTTAATTTTTGGCCCATTGCAGAGCTTGCATACACCTTAGTTGTTACTGAAAAATGCGATGTTTATAGTTTCAGGGTGGTGACATTAGAAACAATTATGGGAAGACATCCTGGAGATTTGATATTATCTTTGTCAAAGACCTGTATAGGAAGCATTTTGCTTAAGGATATTTTAGACTCATGTCTCCTTTTGCCATCACAGAAAGATGCAAGAGATATAACTCTTTTGGTGACAATAGCATTAGCATGCATGAACCCATCTCCTAAATCTCGACCATCAATGCAACAGGTGTCTCAAAGGCTTTTATCTTCCAGCCTTCCATTAGCAATTCCTTTCAATAATATCTCAATTCAACATTTAGCGAATGAAGATATGCCAATAATGTAATAAAAAGCTTGGAGATTTGGCTCATTGTTTGCTTTGTACCTCATATGAAACTTTTAACGACTTGCTTCAAAGTCTAGATTTGAAATATGCCATATGTTTAATTTGTTGTAGTTGATATTTGTCTTATTCTGTTTAAATAATAAGGTATCAAAATTGAATTATAAGAAATGCATACATAGAAGCAACCTCACCAAACTCGCCTCTACCCATAATGTTTTCGTTACTAAACTTATCTTTTGCAACTTAAAACTTTTCAAGTTGACCAAAGTGAGTTTCAAGTTCCTCCTCAAATCAGCTGCCAGTAAAAAGGCAAAATATTAGTAAATCAATCATGGCTATCACATAAATCATCAATTATTATATATAGCATCTTTTCCATTATTCAACTTATTACCAAGAACATCAAAGAAATAATCTTTTTGTCTTCTCTTCTATTAATAAACATTTAGAGCAATAATAGCTCCAATAACATTATTGCCTAAAACTGGTAAGTGGAATAGAGTGATTAGTAGAATTTTGATATGCTCTCGCTCATTAATGACTATGCGCTTACACTTCATCATTATACGCACACACACATGTATATAACTTAATTTCTACATATGCATAAGATCATTGAAGTTTAGCAGAAACACCCACAGGACTTGGCGGTGAATTAGAAGTAGTCAAGGTCATGGGAATGACTCCTATCAAGCTGTTGTTTGGAGACGCCAATTTCAGAGAGCATGAAGGATTAGTTTGCGAATAATGGCATGCTAAGGTAGAGAGATATGAAAGCAATAGGCATACATTTTATCATTTAATAAAGTTTAGAATGTGTTACTCTAGTTCTGGTGAAAGTAAATTTACTAAAGCAAGAAAATCCACAACTTGGGATGGTGCTTGTGACAACCATTCTTTTAAAACCCATTTAGATCAAAATTTTCAATCTATTCGAATGATTAACCATGATAGAAAAGAAGAAACCTTAAAATTTTAAAATCGCTATCATGGTTAAAAGAAATAAACTTATAATAATAGTAACATCGATCGTTACCTTGGGTCTTGGACTTCCAAAGTCCAGAAATATCATTTAACCATTAGCCCAAACCAAACTTATATTTTCAAACATACGAACTGATAAATCAGTTTAATATAAACTATAGAGCTCATTAGTCAAAAGTCAACACTTTCGAAGGAGCGTTACATGCAGAGTCTAACATGTCTCGGGCCTCCTCGCGGCCCTATCATACCAGATAGTAGTAATTAAAAATATTATTTTACATCATGATAGTAGATGAGCCCTATGTGGTAATATATAACAAGTCAGCACATAGAACAAAAGCAGGGAGGCTATACAAGCTATAACAGCACACTATGCCTCCGGAGCCTTCCCTGATGGGCCACCACCTGAACTATCACCTGAAAATGTTAAACCACGGGGTGAGACAAATGCCTCAGTAACCAGCTTTCCAACTCATCATACATACTAACACGTGCTCGTGAGGTGTCAAGTGGGATAGTCATTAATTCTCGAGAAACATAGATATATCCATAAAAGTATAATCTTAATCATCCAAACCCTCACTATGGGGCCCAACACACAAGCCACATAAGTCTATCCCTCACTATGGGGGATTAATCAGACATATAGGCCTATCCCTCACTTTGGGGGACGAATAAGAAGCCACAAAGGCCTATCCCTTACTATGGGGGACGAAGGAAGAAGCCAACCAATATGCACCAATGGCGGCCTTACCACGTGGTAGGATAGTGCTCAATCCAAAATCCAAATAACAACGAATCATTCATAATATAACAAAAATGTCTCAATCTTTTCCCAGTATAATCCATAAGATATAAATCATATATCTTTTCCAAACTTCTTAATCACAATTCCAAAAATCCCACGAGACAATTTTCATAGCTCAAAAGATATAATTTATCTACTCGAGTTTCAAATAACAAATCATTATACCAAAATAGCAAAATACTCACAAACAACATATTAGCACATATAACAAGTGGAAAGTGGTTACCTTTCGCCAAAGCAATACTAAGGATTACCACAAGGTCAATCCTTTGCTCAACCAATAATTAATCTACACAATTAATATAACCACATATTAATATAAACAAATAAATTAATTAAACTTCTCTATATTAGTTAAATTTCTGCTTTAATTAAATTTTTATTCTAAATTCCCGCAACTCTCATAACCCAACAATTATTAAGTATTTTAAAAACAACTTAAAATTTCTAACAACCCAAATTATTTATTTACCACCTCCAAATTATTTACTTTAATAAAAAGGATTTTCCACAATTTCTAAATATAAAATTATTATGTTATAAATTCTAAAAATCTTCATTTAAGTTTAAACCTCAAAATCAAACTATCAAAAATTCAATAATACTTCAAATATTTATAAATAAATAATCTAATCAAAACTTTAATGGTACAACTACCATATATATATTTCCATAAATAATAAACTTTTTAGCTACAATAATTATTTTAAAATCTCCAATCACCCAATAAATAAAACTAAACCGATTAAAATCTCAATAATATATCAAACAATCCAAATAAATTATTTAACTTGAATTTAATCGGTAAAAATATGGTATATCTCATAAATAACAGATTTTTAACTAAATAAATTAATTTAAATAATAAAACTAACAAATAGAGAAATCTAAACCGATTAAAATTAACAACTCATTTATTTCTAAATTTCTATAGTCATCTTTTATCAAAACTCAATACTTATATCATATATAAGTCTCAAAATTTTCTCTAATCACTATAGTAATAATGTAAATAGGAAGTTTAAAATATACAGGAAATATTTATAAAGAACATTTGATAAAAAGAAGTAATTTTATGTACCTAAAATATCTTCAAAACTTGCCCTTTCTTTTACCGGTATGCTCCTTTCGCTCTTGCACACTCAAACTCTCTTTCACTCTTTCTTCTTGCGCCTGCCGGGGGGAAAATGAAGGGCTGGGGGTGTATTTAACACCCCCCGCACATTTATTGGGGGGAGGGGGTTTTTCAAACTCAACCCCCAACCCCCACCGTCCCCCCCAACTTTCCACCGAAATGTCAGTGGAAAGTTGGACTTTTTTTTTAATTATAATAAAATATTATTATATTATATTATATTATATTATATTATATTATATTATATTATTTTTCAATTATTTTATTTTATTTTATTTTTATTTTTTTTTCAGGATATTATAGTGCTTATTGAAAACAAAAAATAAAAAATAAAAATAAAAAGAGACTAAAAAAAAGCTAATTTGGGAGCCAAGTTATTAGCCTTTTGATGGCTCAACTACCCGCCCACAACTTTTATCAGAATGGCTTGTACTAGGAATCGATTTTATGACTAATATTATGATAATCTTTGCAGTAACGGTCTACATTTAAAATTGTTAATGGATGGTTTTTAAGTAAGAAAATAATTCTTAAAATCTGACATCTAGGACATAATTTTTATTTTAGACTTTACATATATTAAAACATTAAATTATAAAAAAATTAGATTAAATATGAATTGTTTAATTTTTCATTTGATCAGTTCTAATCTTGAAACTGAACCCTCATAACACAGGATTATTTGCATTTATCTAATACTCCCCGGCTTCTATTTATAAGTTTCAAATTTATGAAGGAGTGTGATCTATTTTATAAGCTTCAATTTAGGGTTTGTCTTAACATTTGATATTTTTTTTAATGTTATCCATAATTATTTCTCTATTTTATATTTCCCCACATATTCTCTTTCATCTTTTTTTCTCATTTATTATAAGAGCGTATTTGAAAACAAAATATATTTTTAATTTATTTATTATTTTAAAATAATTTTAACTAATTATTTGTTATACATAAGTTGGTTATTTAAAACTCATAATAAGGAGCAGAGTGAGTAATTCTTTGGTATGTATTTTGGTTTTGCCATCAATTCTCTAACATATAATCCTCTAGCTCTATTTATAAGGTAGAGAGAGAAGGGTTTTTTACTCATGTTTATAAGTCACTTCATTGAATTTTCAATATAAATGTACTATTTTGTTATTTTTTTAGTGTAGATATTTCTTTTTTTCCCCTTAAAAGATGGTTGACTAACAAGTTAATTGATATGGGCCGTATTTTTGTTATAAAAAGTCCAAGCCTAAAATCAAAATTCTTCACTAAATTGTGGGCTTGGAGCTCGAAAACTAGGCCCAATGCAACTAGATTAAGTATGGATTATTTATTTGTTCCTATGATCAATTTAAATTTCTTTATGTGGAAGAAACCGTGATTATAATAATTTATGATTGAAAAATCATATATATATTTATTTTAAGAAAATTAATATTAATATTAATAAATTCTCAAACCTAGCTATCCCTA